GGGGGGTGTAGGTTGGGGGTCGGGGCCAGGTTGCTTGGTCAGCGCACCAGCAGGATTGAAGGCAGGGAGCAGCAGTCAAGCCCAGGGCCGCGCGCGGCGTCCCTCGCACGTGTCGCAGCGCGCGCGCCGCCCCTCCCGCCGATCGCCGCCCTCGCGCCTCTGCCGCTGCTCGCCCGGCCCCCTGGCATATTGTGCGTTGGCGCGCTGCCTTGCGGCAGAGAACCTCTGCTCTGCTCTGCATGGAACCTGACCGCGTCGACCACCCTGCGTCCCCCCCCTTCAAAGCTCCGTGCCGACAACCAATCCGATCAAAAGCGGTTGACCTGGCAATCGCCGCTAGCGAGACCCCGGGTCCCGCTGCAACGCCGCTGTCTCTCGGCCCTCGACCGCCCGCAGGAGGTGAATGAGCTCAAGGCTACTGTTGAGAAGGCCAAGAATGACATCATTAAGACCACCATCGGAGTGCTGGGCACGTTCTCCGCGGTCGCGTTCACGGCGAGTCGCGCGCCCTGGCGAGGGGCCGGGGGGAGGGGGGGCGGTGTCCATGGCCGCGCCTTGCGCTTTCCAGTGCCGTCGCGCGCTTGGCGCGAGGGGCCCTGCCCGTCGGCAGTGAAGGCAGCCAAGGTATTGACTACGCCTCCTGCTGCCGCGTGGCACTCGCGCGCTCTGCACTGCTGTGGCCAACCCTACCAGCTTCCCCCCCTCCCCCGCCACTCCCGCCTCCCCTCCTTGCAGATCAGCCGCCTGTTGACGATGCAGTGACCGCGCCGCGCCGCGCTGTGCGCCGCGCTCCCGCATCCTCTTTGTGTGTTGAGCAGGCCGGTCAAGGCCTACCGCCCCGGGTTTGCTCATTCGTTGGTCCACTTGTTGGGGTTCAGGGCTTCTTTTGCTTGCGTCCACGCACCTTGAACCCACACTCTCCAGCCCCACAGGTGCCAAACGCGCCCGCCCCATGAGGTCGCTCGGCCACGCACCCCCGATTTGGTGTCACCCTTCCCACCATTGTAACCCCTAGGCCTGCGTTGCCGTGCGCCCTGTTTCTCACCCCATGCCTGGCAGCACGCAAGGGCCTCTGAGCGGAGGCCCTGTTGAGTCATGATTAGTCACCCTGGGTCCCAGGCGGAAGGCGGGGTGATGGAACCGAGGCTGCACCTTGCAGGGTGCCAGGGGCAGTGCTCTGCTTACATTCAAGCCAGCAGTGAGATGCATCCTACTAGGCAGGTGCCGAGCGGCCAATAAGCCGTCCCCTCACACTCTCTTGCAGAACACAAAAGGCCCCTAGCGCCGAGCAGCGGCGCCGGGGTCCGGCCCCCTCAAAACAGCCTCGGGCAGTGGTATACACGCAACGGCCTCTTGTTTCGCGACGACAGGGAAAAAGCAATCGGGGAAGAATCAGGAGCTACTGCAGGTGTGGCAGTGGCCCGCAAGGTACCAGCTGGCTGGTCCCAAGGCGGCAGGGCGAGGACGGAGCACGGAGAATCAGGAAAAACGGGAACCCAGGGAATTCAGTGGGCCCAGGGCTGGGGGGCGAGCGCAGCATACAGGGGGTGGGGAGGGGCGCGCCATGGGCCCAGGCGCCGCGGCCTGGGGGCGTATCGACGCGGCCGCGCTGCGTCGGCGCCTGCAGCCACGCCCCAAGCCTGCTGCCACCTCAGTGCCCCTCCGCTAGCCCCTCATCGTCGCCGCCGCCGCCGCCGATGCCGCCGCCGATGCCCCCGCCGCCGCCGCCGCCGCCGCCGCCCATGTCCTCGTCTCCGGTGCCGCCGCCGCCGCCGTCGCCGTCCGGCCCGTCATCGTCATAGCCCCCCTCCCCGTCGTCGCCGCCGTCCCCGTCACCCTGGTCGTACCCGCCGTCCCCGTCGCCGCCCTCCTCCCCGTCCGCGCCATCGTCCCCCTGCTCCGAGCCGCCGCCCATGTGCGCGCCGCCCGAGTGCGAGCCGCCGCCGAGCCGCGCCGCGGGCCCCTTGACGGCGAGCACGATCCCTAGGCGCTCCCTCTTGTCGTCGGGCAGGCTGCCATCCTTCATCTTGCGCTGCTGCTGCGCCAGCCAGAAGCACATCTGGCGCTCCTTGTCCTCGCCGGTGCGGCGGGGGCGGTGGCCGTGGGTGCGCACAAAGTGGAGCAGGTTCTGGTATTTGGTCTGGGGAGGTGGGGCAGGGATTGGTGCACAGGGGTGGTTTGAGGGGGTGGTGATCAAGAGGGGTGGTTGTACGCCTGGGGGACACTCCCAGCGGTCTGGCGGCATGCTAGATGTGACGGCGGCCTCCGGGGCTGGGGTTGAGCCCCGTCTCTGGCGCTCGTCTCCGCACCGCCTGCCTAGAGCCACACTGCGGCCCCAGGACTGGCTGCAGGCTCCGCCTGTCCACGCCCTCCCAAACACCTGCAAAGCGGCAGGCGCAGCCCCCGCCACCCCGCGCACCTCCCACGTCGCGTCGCGCTCCTTGTCGCGCGCGCTCTGCCCCCCGCCGCCCCCCATCCCGCCCGACGGCCGCGGCTTCCGCGCGCGCGGCGCGCCGCCGGCCGCCGCGGCGGGCGGCGCGCCAAGCGGCTCCTCCTTAGCTGTGTAGGGCGTGCCGTCCTCGTGGACGCGCGTGAACAGGTCTTTCGCATCTTTGACCAGAAACACGGGCCGCCCCGGCTGCCCCGCGCCGTACACGGCCTCGCCGCCGCCGGGCTCCGCGGCGCGGACGTGCAGCGGGGCGCGCAGCTTGTCCGCCACCTCGTTGTACACCACCTCGCGCACGGCCTCCTTGCCGCCGGTGTGGAAGGCCTTTTCGAGGGGACCAGGGTTTGGTGGGGAGGGGAGCATGGATGAGGGGTCGCATTCATCGGGGGCAGCGGCGGCAGAGGCTCGAAGCATGCAGCGAGGTTTGGGATCCACCATAGGAGGTTGTGGGCGCGGCCGTCCACTGGCGAGCCCCCGGCCGGCCACTGGCGAGCCCCCCACGCGCCGCGAGAGCCCCAGCCACGCGGGCGGCAGCATCGAGGTTGCGGTAGCCGGCATGCCCACCTCGACGATGCGCTCAGGCATCGCATCAGCGAGCTGGTCCGATGACACCCCCAGCAGCTCGAAAAAGTTCATGGACATCATCCCGGTCGTCAGCAGGCGGCCGCGCCTGCGGCGTCGGCCGCGCTATGCGCTGCGAAAAGCTGCGAGGAGGACCCTGCTCCTCGCGTGCGCCCGTGGCTGGGCGGGGCCGGCGGCGCCGCCTGGCCGCGGCGACGGCAGCGTTGCTGGCACTCAACCTCAAGGCTGCGATAAAGCATGTCACAGCGTTCAAGCGGCCCGGAGTGGGGGTTGTGGACGCGGGAGGCTTTGCGAGGCGGGGTGCGGGCGGCGCCACGCCACTGCGCCCGCGACGACGCAGCAACGGTGCAAGTTGCCACGAGCAGTGACACGCAAGCAAAGCTTATAGATGCGTCTGACTTGCGCATGCTGCTGGCACACCACATCGTGCGGCCAGCACCTCGTCGCACCTTTCTGGCACCTCGCTGTCCCTTGCCCCCTTAGACGAATGCAAGCGGATTAATGCTACTTTTCGTGATATAAGGGCGCTCTTCAGGCGCCGCAGGCCCCGGCGCGCTGCCAGAGAGTGCTCCGTGCTCCTCCAGATCTGTCGGGCCGTCACAAAGGAGCGCAAAACAGTCTCGATAACTTGATATGAATTAATCAGTACGGCGCGCACGTGTGAGCTCTGCTAGAGTATTTGCGCCCACGAATTCAATCATTGAACAAGGATCGGCGCTCATGCACCCGGATGAATTTGTCACCTGCGTTGTTTGATCATGACCTTACATCCACGTCTTTCTGCACCACCGCTCAGAGTGCACCCAGATCACACAGACTCAATTTGAAGGGCTCACATTCTCCACACTTCTCGCTGCTGCCCACCTTTAGAGGCTCGATACTTTCGACAGCTATCTGAAACAGGCTTCTAGCAGACAAGGCCAGCGGATCGACACAGGGGTTGGCAAAAAGGCCCAACAGCACTCGCTGCTCTAGCCGCACAGCGGCTCATCAGGGAGCGGCGGCAGGCGCGTCGCTCGCCCATTTGGGCGAGGGGAGGAGGGGCCAGGATGGCAACCAGCCTTGAGAACCGCCAGTATTTCCCAGCTTTCGCCGAGCTGCCTATAGTAGACGAGTTCTTGGTGAGGGGCGGCTGGATCCGCAGGGCAGGCGGCGGCGCGGAGCGCACGGGCGCGGCGGCCCTTCGCATGCAGCCTCTGGCCGGTGGGGGCGGCCCGACGCCTTGCGATGCCACAGGCCGTCTGCAACACCGAGTCGTGGAGGCCCATATGGGACCTTGCTGCATCCCGACGAAATGCGTGACTCGGGTGCCTGCGCAGTGGCCTCCCATGCTTGTGGGCTGCGCATGCGCCTCAACACAGCCGCAGAACACATGCATGCATGCGCGCGCACCCAAAACACACGTCAAAAATTCATACAGTACACATACATTTACAACCCATGGCCCTGCGTCAGGATCCGAATTACTATGTAGAGGTGGCGGGTGGCGGCATCTACCCCATAAAGACGTGGTGCTTCTTCGCAGAGATCGTGGACGACTCCCTCAGCCAGGTGCGACGGGCCACGATAAAGCGGCAGCGTCTGCTTGACCTTTGGCGGCGTGTGTGCGCGGTGGCGGCCGTGCGCGCACGCATGTGTGTGTGTGTGTGTATTTGTGTGTGTGTGTATTTGTGTGTGTGTGTATGTGTTTGAGTGAGGGTGTTGGTGTGTACGGGGAGGGGGCCCCATGAGGGCGTGCGAGGGCCTGTGAGGGTCGTCGTGCTAGACAATAGGTGCATGTGGCTGCCGCATGGGGGCCGCAATCCCCTGGCCGCCGTGGGCGGGGGAGCTGAGATGGGAGGCGTGTGGGCCGCCGGCCTCCAAGCAGCCGAGGGGCGGGCTTGCATTGGGCATGCGCGTTGTCGGGATGGGGCGCCAGGCCGAACCTGGCCATGCGAGGTTTGACAGTGGCACACAGGCATCACCCCTGCCGTCGGTGCCCATCGAGACGGGCACGCCTACACGCAGCCGTCGGCAACCACAAACACAGCCCCCTCTGCTTCACCATTCCATCATCCCTTGAACCCACAACTGCCTGAAACCGCCACCAACCGCCACCAAACGCTGCCCTGCCCCCAGATGCCCGAGTTCTTCAACCGATGCGAGGTGCGTGACATCACCGGGGAGACCGCCAGCGTGCTGTTTGGCCTGGAGGGCGGGCCCATGGCGTTCAGGGACCTCACGTCTGGGGCCACCCTTTTTGTGCGCTACGCCAGCAAGTGCTACTTTTCAGACCTCGCGACACAGGTGGGCAAGGGGCGATGTGTGTGTGTGTGTGTGTGTGTGTGTGTGTGTGTGTGTGTGTGTGTGTGTGTGTGTGTGTGCGTGTGTGCCGACGTGGGTAGGCGGTTGCATGGGTATGTCTGCTTGTGTGTGTATGTGTGTCTATGTGTGTGTACGGGAGACGCGCGTAGGTGGGTTGTGTTTGCGCACATTGGACGAGTGCGTTTTTGGGCTGGTTCGGGCTTTGTCATGGCTGTCCACGCACGTGGTGCGTATGCGCATTGTTTGAGTAGGAGCTGATCTGCAGATTGGCGCCTGAAGGAATGCAGCGCAACCGCTCCCTCCGCCCCTCCACTGACACCCCTGACAATTCTCCCCCAACCACCACCCTGCCTGTCACCCCCCTCCCACCCTGCCCCCCCCCCCAGGTTCTCAAGGTGGAGGACCTGTCCATGGTCAAGGTGGTGCAGGCCCCCCTCGACCTGCTGCTCTCACTCTCACAGTACTACTGGGACAGATCGCGCTGCGCGGCCTGCCGCCGCCCGCTGGCCGCCGCGACGGCGACGCAGTGGTGCGCGCGCTGCGGGGCGGCGGCGTACTGCGGGGCGGAGTGCAGGGCGCGGCACGCGCCAGACCACGGGGGCCACTGCCACCTGTGCTTCGAGCTGAGCGCGGTGCTGTCCATTGACTTTGACCGGTACGTGGAGCCGGTGCCCTTCCGGTAGCAGCAGGCAGGCACCCAAGGGGGCGGACGTTGCGGCCGAAGGCGGCACACTCTGTCAACAAGTGTGTCCCACGCGGGCGGCGCCCGCGGCGTGCAGGCACGCGCGTGCACGCACGGCCGCCTCCGGCGCTCCACCCGTGTGAGGCGGGGGCCCTTTAGCAAAACCATGATCCTTTCTTGATGCACTGCATTCCTTTGCCCCGGCCCCTGCCCCCGTGGTCGGCTAGCCATTGCCGGCCGCCCTCCAGACAGCCGGCACTGCTCGGTGAATCGGCCGCGCGATCTCTGCGTGCGCCACTGCAACCACTTCCGTGATGTCGCCTCCCGCATACATTCCGCTCTACAACCGCCGTGCTGGTCCCGCCATCTCATTCGCCCGCGCGCATGCATCTGCTGCGCCGTTGCTCGTGCCGCCTGCCACTGTAAGGAGGAAAGGCGAGAGCCCGCTGCTATCGTCCCCGTTTGCGTGTCCCACGCAGCTGCCAGGGATTGGTCAACGATTGCGGACCGAAGTTTTGGGTGGTACGCTGTGGGCGATACACAACTGGCTGCTCAGGCGGGTGGAAAAAGCAGCCCGTACAGTGGCACATCGTGCGTGTACCTAGACCCTTGTGCTGGCACACGCCGTGCGCCTGAACGTGACCATGCGAGCCACCACCAGCAAGACGATCGTCCATGAAAACATATACCGGAGCTTATCAACACGGAGCGACGCGCATGAGATGGCAAGCGATGCGAAACCTGACAATGAACGGTTCATGTGCAGGCCAACAACCAGCCATCCAGCAATACATCCTGCACAAGTGTTGGCTTATGATCACCACCTCAGCACGCCGCTTGACTCACCCCAGGAGTGAGGGGCTGGGAGGTGCGTGTACGGCATGGACATTAGCGATTGCGTCGCTGCGTGCGGGCCGCAGCCAGCCTCACCCAACCCGCCGCGTAGGGGCCGGTGGCGCTGGGCCCTCGGTTGTTATAGGCGCGCGCACCCACCTGGCTCCCTCCCCTGCCGCGTGGGTCGTCACTGCAGGGCTAGGTCTTGCAGCCGCGTCCGCCGGGGCCGGTGCTGCGACGGGGAAGGAGCTGGCGCGCGGCAGCTGGGGCGGGGGCGCCATCGAGGGCGTTTCGCCCGTGACAGGCGCCCAGCCGGCCGGCAGCGACGCGCCCCTCAAAGCGGTGACGCCCGCCACCGCGCCACCGCCGGCAGCGATGTCTGCCTTGCCGCTTGGCGGCGGCTGAATGGCAGGCGCGGTCACAAGTGTTGCCTCCGGGGCCGCCGCTGACGGTGCCTTTTCGACCTGCATCCGGCCGCACGCTGGTGATGGTGAGGGTTCGGCGCCGCTGATCGAGACCTCGTGCAGCCCTGTGGGCGACGCGAGCGCGAGGGCGCTGAATGCGATGCTCGGCGGCCCCTCCCGCGACCGCGGGCCGGCGCTCGGGTCGGCCGACCACCAGGCGGGAGCCGCCGCAGCCTCGGCAAAGGCCGCGAGCCCCGCGGCCGTTGCGGCAGCCACGACGACGTCCGCGGCGCCCGCCGTCGACGAGTGGGAGGGAGACGCCCGCTGCTGGGCCGCTGCTGCTGGCGGCGCAGCGGACGGAAGCGGAGGAGACCCCGAGGCCTCCGAGGGGCTCTGGAACAGCGGCAGCCAAGGGGCGCGCTGCTGATGCAGCGATGGCGACGGCGCGCGTCGCAGCGCTGCTGCTGGCTGCGCCGCCAGCGGTTGCAGCGGCGGCGGCTGCTGGGTCTGGGTCTGGGGCTCACACTGCGCGGCGGCCCACTGGGCCCTGAGGCGCGGCAGGACGGGGTCCAGCTCGTCGGTGGCCGTGGTGGCGGCGGCCGCCGACGAGGGCGTCGCGGGGGCCGAGGGGGAGGGCCTGGGCGCCTTGTGCGGCCGGGAGCCGTCGGGCAGCTGCTGGGTGTCTGGGATGGTGGGGTGGTGTCGGTGGAACGGAGGAAGGGGGGCAAAGGCACAGGAGGTATGGATGCCGCTGGAAAGGTTTGGGCTTTCGCTCGTCAGAGGGGCGTCGGCATAGTGCATACAAAAGCAGCCGCAATGCTGGCCCTGGAATGGCATCTGTGAGGGCGTTGCCGAGCAGCCAGCACTTGCAGCTTGGGAAGGGCGGCACTCTGAAGGCGTCCCACCTTTGGTACCAGCGGCCACCAGGGGGCGCTTGCGCCCATCGTCACCCGTCATTGCAGGCGGCAGAAGGCTGGCGCCGCCTGTCGCTCCAGCAGCAGGCAGCAGTGCTGGGATCATGGGCGCATTGCTGCTGACAGCGCGGTCGTCGATGCACAGCCCTGCCGGGGCGCCGCCGGCGGCGCTGCGGGGGAACAGGGGTGGCAGCTGCATTGAGGGCTCCAGCGGCCACAGGGCGTTGCAGCCTTGCAAGGAGGAGGTCTGCTGGTGCTGTAGCAGCACCCCCTGCTGGAAAAACGCTTGCTGCTGCCGCTGCTGCTGCTGCTGCTGCTGCTGCTGCTGCTGCTGCTGCTGCTGGTGCTGCTGCTTCTGCTCCTGCTGCTCCTGCTGGTGCTGGTGCTGATGTTGCTGTGCAGCGGCAGCGAATGCACGCTGCACGGCAGCCTGACGCATATGCAAGGGGAGTGTTACGGAGAGTATCCTGCGGCGAGCGTCGGGGAGGTGACAGGCTTCAGGATGCTTTGATGGCGTCACACAAGGATTGAGACCTGGGCGTTTGTTGCCCCTGCTGTTGCTTGGACCAGTGCAGGCACTAGAACTGACTCTCGTGCGACCCAGTAAGGAACAGTGGCTCTGCCGCACTCACTTGTTGCAGCAGGCGCAGACCACCTGGACCTCAGTGGTGCCGCACAGCATTACGTCATCCGGCACTCGGGACTGCAGGAGTGCATGGCGGGGAGGACCAGCCGTCACGAGCCTGGGGTATGACGCACGCCAAGCTGGATGGGCCGACGGGCAGCAGGACGCATGCTGTCCCCCTTGCCAATGTACCCGTTCAACCGCTGCCTTTCCATGACATGCCCAAATTATTTTGCCACTGCGCACCCTGAGCGTCGCACCGCAGCCCAGGCACGCCACTCTGATGGCCTGCATCGGATTCAACGCCGCGAGGCGGGGCGGCCGCGACGCGGAGGGCTGGCGTCGTTCTGAGCAGCTACGGGCAGCGCAGCCACCCTAAATATGAGTTTTTTGCGCACTAAAGGCCACGGCAGTTGCCATTTTCGATCCAAGGTGCTCGACGCCAATGGGTGCCACGGCGGTCACTTGCAACCGGCGGAGCAAGCAGCACTTGTGTATAAGGACTGCGTTGCAAAACAAAAACCTCAATAATTGCTTAAATTCACGCGTCGAACGATCGGAGCTGCAGGGGATACACTGTGACAGTGCAGTGATGCTTGTCACACTGCAGCACCAATATGTACCGAGTTTGACCCAGACGTTTATAAACGATCGAGGCTTGAGACCAATACTGTTAAGGAAGCCTGTGCAGTCCCACATAGTCCAGCGCGCCCCCCGATCCGTCTCCCGCCATCGCTGTCGACAACAGCTCAGCGGCCATGGGGCGAATAACAGAGCGCATGATACGCAGCGTGAGGATATATCCGGCCGCACGCATACTATATGTACTGCGGTTCCCTCTGCGGTGTGCGGGGAGAATGGTGCACCGCAGCTCGTGCCCGCGCGTTGGTGCCGCTTTTGCCGCGGGTTCACAAACGCGCGTCATCACACACGCGCCCACAGCGCGCCGAGCACAACGAGGGCCTGCTCGCAACGCTGGAGGAGGTGGCGCTGCACCAGCAGAACATCGAGCGCATCGAGCTGCTGGGCCGGCTGTGCCCCAAGCTGCGCATACTGTACCTGCAGAACAACCTCATCTCAAAGATCGAAAACCTTCACAAGCTCAAGGTGTTTGCCCTTTATATACATCCAATTGTCAAAGGCACAGCAGCTGCTTCAAGTGATAGCATGGCAGGCACAACGCTTAGTCGTCATGCAGCCTAGGCACCCCAGTCCGCGCCTGCCTCGCGCCGCCGCAGCCCTGCCACAAGCCCAGCAACACACGCCCCTGCCTCCAACATGACATTAACGCGGCGGTGCCCCCTCCGCGCCCCCTCCCCCCAGGACCTGCATTACCTGAACCTGGCGGTCAACAACATAACCAAGGTCCAGAACCTGCAGCGCTGCGAGTCGCTGTCCAAGCTGGACCTCACCGTGAACTTCATACCCAAGGCCGGCCTGCTGAGCCTGCCCAGCCTGGCGGGGCTGCACGCCCTGCGGGAGCTGTTCCTGGTGGGGAACCCCTGCGCGGACTGGCCGGGGTACCGGGAGTATGTGGTGGGGAGCCTGCCTCAGCTGACACGCCTGGTGAGGGCGGGGATGGGGGGTGTGACAGGCCCTTTTGGGGGGTGCGGGGGTGGGAAGGGGGCGTGATGGGAGTGGAGAGGGGAGAGGAGGAAGCAAAAGAGGCACAGCGGTTTCTGACTAGTCCTGCGTCAGCGCATGCATCAGCGCTGCCGTCAGCGCCAGCGCCTGGCGGCCGAACCGCGCATGGCGGCGCCCTGTCGGTGCTGCCAGACCGGGGTGGTGTGGCGTTGCGGGAGCCGCCTCCGCCCCCTCCTCCCCACCCTCGCGAGCAGGACGGGCAGGACGTGCGGCCCTCAGAGCGCATCGCCGCGCGCCAGGCCCTGCCGCAGCTGCAGGCCAGGCTGCACGACGAGCTGCGGGCGGAGGGCGCAGACCTCGATGCGGCGGCGGCGTGCGAGGACGACGGCGGTGCAGACGCGGCGGCAGATGGGGAGGTGGCGGAGACGGGTTATGTGGACGAAAATGGGGAGATGCGGCGGCCGTGGTGCCCTGCGACACGCATCCTGGAGCACCGGGAGGCGGTGAGGGGCGGCTGGGACTCTCGCGCGCGGTGCTGAGTCGGGAGCGTGTTACATGGCTGTGAGTGAGCTTGGCTCGTCTGTGGCGCGATTGCTGCGCCGTGGGCAAAGTCGGGCAGTGAGAGGAACCCCTTGCTGCCAGGCTGTGCAGGAATGCAGTGTGGTTTGGATGTATTTGCGTAACGTGGTGAGGGCTGCTGCTGCGGCTGCTGCTCCTGCTGCTGCTGCTGCTGCTGCTGTCGCGTCGGCGACGAGCCTTGCCAATGTTTTGTGGCCGTCGCATCGTGACCGCCGGCATGCAGGAAAAGGCGGAGCGGGAGGCGCAGCAGAAGAAGGCCGCTGGGGCGGAGGACCCCTTTGCACCGCCGCCCGCGCCGCCCAGGCTTGAGGTGCGCGCGACCCGGCGCGACGGCAGCGCCCCCTTTTCGACCCCATGTGTGCTCCCTCCCCAACGCAGACGTGCTGCCACGCCCCGGATGGCATCAGTGCACCTGCCTCATGTCCTGCTCACCAAGCCTTGCCTCCTGCAGTCCTCTCTTGTGCTCGCAGCCGTAATGTGAAACCCATAGGATTCATGGCGCATCCCAGGCACAATCTCTCCACTCAAGAAACCCCTCCCAAACCACCTGAAGCGCCCTCAAATCCTGCCACCTCCACCTGCCACCTCCACCTGCCACCTGGGTGGCTCCACACACGGGCGACAGCCAACGTCGCAAAATCCTTATGCATACCTCACCTGTCCCCCCTAATGTTCCTCCAAAGGATTTCCCTGCCCTGGCCGAGGGGGAGGTGCCGCGGCAGCGCAATGAGGGCAAGTGGGAGTTCAGGATGGACGAGAGCGAGGACGGGTGGGTCTTGGTTCTCGGGATGGGAGGAGTGGGGGTCAGTGGGAGAGGCTTGGGATCCGAGGTGGGGCGGGTGTGGTAACTGGGCGCAGTGCTTGCAGCCACCCAGTGCAGTTGCCAGGGACTGGCAGCGTGCCGTGCCGCGTGTGGTTGAACTCGGCGGCTTCCACATCCAAACCCTTCCCAGCCCCAGGTAGCCGCAGCTTCGATCACCATAACCCCTCTCCAAAGTCTCTCGGGCCGACCGTCTCTGTTCGTCCCCACCGCAACCGTCACCGACTCCTGTTTGCAGCGCCGCCCTGCTGCTGGAGGTGCACGTGGGGCGCTACGTGGACACGTCCCTGGTCAAGGCGGACGTCCGGCCCACCTTTGTGCGGCTGCTGATCAAGGGGCGCCTGCTGCAGCTCACCCTGCCAGAGGAGGTGGGTGTGAGGGGTTTGTGCAGGTGTGTAGTTGAGTGTATGTGCATGTGTGTGGGGGGGCGCATGTGCGTGTGCGTGTGGATGTGTGTGCATGTACTTGGGCCAAGGGAGGGCACGGCAGGGCGTCGTGAAGGACTGCTGGCTCACACATTTGCCCCTGAATTCAAGAGAGTCGGCTGTGGGGGGCACAGACCAGTCTGCTCTGGGGAGCGCTGGCGTACCGGGCGCAAGCGCGGGGGCACAGCCACTGCAAGCCTGGGTGGCCATGCAGGGGCCGCGTGCGGCCAGAGTGACCGCTGGGGCCTGTGGCGACCCTCTGGTGCATGGGTTTGCGCATCATGGGTAGCAGGCCCAGTGGTGGATGCCGCATCACCAGATGCTGCTGCTGCTGCTGCTGCTGCTGCTGCTGCTGCTGCTGCTGCTGCTGCTGCTGCTGCTGCTGCTGCTGCTGCTGCTGCTGCTGCGAACGCCTAGGCCCAGGCCCAGGCTGAGACTGTGACTGGATCAGAGCTGCTCACGGCTGCCCCTGGCGTGCCTGTGCCCCGCGACGCCCCTCACAGGTGCGACCAGACGCCAGCCATGCGCAGCGCTCCAAGACCACAGGCGCGCTGCTGCTGACAATGCCCAAGGAGCGCGGCGGCAGTGGCAAGGGGCCGGGGTCGGCTGGCGTGGGGTACCTCAGGTGGGGTTCATTGGCTTTGGGAGCTGCTGCTGTTTCCAGGAACGCGAGGCAGGGGGGGCTGAATTAGTGTTGGCAGGTGAGAGCCATTGGCCCTTGCCCCTGCACCCGCTGCTGCAGGGCGGCGACAGGCTCGAGCAGCTGTCCAGCTAACAATGCATCACGTGGCTGCGTCAACGCTACACATTCCACACACGCTGCCACCACCAGGCCGAAGCAGCAGCGGGACTCGCAAGGAGTGGCCGCCGGAGCCGGCGGTCGGGCGTCCGCAAAGCCACCCTCACTGGGCGCGGCGGGCCTGCGGCGCGCAGCAGTGGTGAGGGCGGACGACCGCGATTTGGACGACCTGCCAGACCTCTGAAACACGAGGGAGGGAACGCCAGCATCAGACTGTCAACGCAGCAGTCACAAAACTCAACACCATCCACTTCATTCGATGCTGCACGTTCAGACGCATGCGGCGCGGGGGGCATGACAGGCCGGACAAGGGATCCCCCGCAGCCACAATGAACAGGGGCCTGGGTTGTTCTATCGAGGCGTCAGCTTTTCTTGCTTTCACCTGGCTTGCTGGGCTGAGAATCGTCAATGGTTGCTTGCTTTGTTGAAGGTTATTTATTTGCTGAGGAAGGCTTCTTCAACAGTGAGTCCAGATTGTAAATCTACCAACGAGGAATCTGCAGCCAATGGCCGTTGTTGCAGTGCAGCAGTCAAGCCGCGGAATGTGACACCAGCCAACCGTCCAGCGGCTGGCAGAGCTCAAGCCCGCATGGTCACAGGGGCCCAAGCGCGTGCAGCCACGCAGCGGGTGTGCACTTCACTGGGGTGCCGCCTCAGGACGACGGCCGCTGAGCCGGTGCAGGCGTGGTGCAGCTTTCCAGCACAAGGAGTCGCAAATGTCAATCAACCAGGGAGCCATTCCAGTGCGGCTGGCGTACACCTCTGCTGTATGAAGGCCAACCTGCACATAGGTATCCCCTGCTCGCTGCTCATGCCTAGGCGGCGTACACACCTGCAAACGGCCGCTCGATTACACGCTGACGCACGTGGCCGCGGCGCGGGACAGCAGCGTGCGCCGCGCACGTCACCGCATGCTGTGCCACCGCGCGAGGCGCTCCCGGTGCCGCGCCGCCTCCACCGCCGCAGCGACGTCGTCCACCACGATGTGGGCCGGGTCCGTCGCGCTGTTCGCCTCGCGCCCCTCAAAAACGCCCGTCCTCACGAGCACGCTCACCCACGGGGGCCCGGCCGTGTTGGCGCCGCGCACGTCCGCGGCGGGGTTGTCGCCGACGGCGTAGATCGCGCTGAAGCGCGCGGCCGCGCCGCCCCCGCCGTTGCCGCCGCTGGCGGCGGCTGCGGCGTCCTCGGCAACGGAGGGGGGTGCCAGGCCGAGGCGCACGGCCTGCGCCAGCAGGAGCCGCTCCGCCAGCCTTGACGCGAGCCGGGTTGCAGGTCAGGCCGGAAGGGATGGTGTGGGGGCAGAGGGGTTTGCGTGGTTTCATAAGATCAGAGTCCTTTGTAGCGGGGCGCGTGGGAATCGCCATGCCGCCAATGGCAGGGGCGACCGTCAGCAGCACTGGGTTTGTGTGGCTCGCGCGGGCTGGATGATCCAGCAGCGGGGGGACGCTGCAGCGCCAGACCGCTGCCTGGTGCAGCGCCTGCGTGCTGGGCCTACAGCACGCGCACTCTTGCGCACCTGTAGGGCTCCCTGTTGGGCTTGCCAAACCAGCGCGCGCCTGAGATGGGGCCACCCGTCGTCTGGCGGTGCAGCGCGTCGAGCGCGGCGGCAAACGCGCCCTGACCGAAGCGCGGCCGCGGGTGGTCGTTGGCCCACAGCAGGTCCGGGTTTGAGAAGAACACCTCCACCGGGCGCGAGCCTGGGGGCGCGCGGTTGAGGAGCGCGGCAGCGGTCTCTGGGCAAGGTGGCGTGTTGGGTGGCATCCTGTGTTGGCAACACGTAGCAGGCGATTCGCACCGGCCATAATCAGGCGTGGGTGGAGCGAGGTTTGCAGGGGTGACAGCTGCAGGGCAGTCCAGGTGCGGGTGCCCAGCGCGACCAGCTGCCGTCCTCTGGGAATCAGGGCAATCGGGGCCCAGAACAAAGCTGGGTGCAAGCCAAAGCAGAGGGAGGGTCGCCCGGCCGACCTTGTTGTGGGGCTCCCCGGCTCACCTGGCGCGGGGTGGGGCCTGAGGGGCACCCCGTGTGACGTGATGACGTCGTGCAGGAGCTGCAGGTCCTGTTGTGGTTGAATGCATGGTACGTGAGGCGGTGGTTACATCAGCCGGCTGAGGTGTTGAGCAATCCTCCTGGTAAGCGACTCACAAGATGGCCCAGCTGCAGACCTGCCCCCTGTAACCCCGCCGGTTGGCGCAAGGCAACCCTGCTCTCCCCTCCTCGACCGCCAGCTCTCACCTGGTACCAGGCGTCACCAGCCGGGTCGTTGAACACCAGCACCGCGCGAATTGGCGCCGCCTCGCTTCCCCACCCCAGGTCACGCACTGGGCAGGGGCCGCCGCTGCGGGTCGCGCCTGCGCAGGACAGTGGCGGCAAGGGGTGCAGCCTCGCCGGGTCATCGTACCGAGACTCGCAGGCGCCCCGCGGCAGCACACGCGAATATCACTTGATTTGGCGATGGACACACAACAAAATCGGCGCTGGGGCTCGTCATACAGTATCGTTGCTACCGAGCACCGCAGTGCAGGCCCTCCAAGAACCCACAGCGTGCTTGCCCACCTTTCGGGGCGTCCGTGAGCGGCGCCGCGCCGAACGGCGTCGCCGCGCGCCCAAAGGCCTCTGCCAGGTGGTAGGTGGTGAGGACCTTGCTGAAGCCGTAAGACCTGGCGACAGCCACCACGTCCCGCCGGCCAGCCACCAGCACGGGCACGTCACCGAGGCGCGGTGCCAGCTGCCTGAACGGCGAGTGGGACAGGATGACCTGAGGCCGGGGGTTGCGGAGCGGGGCACATTTCATGATGGGATAACGGCAGGGCAGGGAGGGTAAGATGGTTGATGCTGCGCCAGGCGCTCGGGCCTCTTTGTCTCAAATGCATGCTGATGCTTCGTCACGCGTGCACACGTGCATGCACGTGCGCGGGTGACACTCACACACGCTCACACCCGACTCACCTGGTCCTCCCCGACCTCCACCCCGAGCCATGACGTCAGCTCCTCAGCCTTCCTAGCCTCACTCACGCCCCCACCATTGGTCAGAAAGCACACCGGCGCCCGCCACGCACCACCAGAGAGCAGCTGCGTAGAGGCAGCGGCGCGTTGAGGGAGCGCATATAGATGATTGTGCTGGGTGGTGCAGGCTGCTGCTGCTGCTGCTGCTGGTGGTGCTGCTGGTGCTGCAATCATGCAACTCATGAGGCTCATCAATCCGCGAGTGTGGCAGCATGGATAGGCGCACATGGCAGCCGCAATATCGAGAGTGCAGGCACTGCAAATGCGAAAGTCTTGGCACCCTGGGACCCACCATCTGCATGGCTGTCCGAGCCGCAGGAAGCACCGCAGGTCCACGGACGAGCACGCCGTCGATGTCAAAAACGAATGCCGCCGGCTTTGTGGGATTGGCAGACAGCGGCGGCACCGGCGCGCCGCCGCCAGGCGCGCTGCGGAGCGTGCTGAAGGCTGCTGCGCTCGAGGCGGCAGCGCTCTCAGCGCGCATAGCCAGCCGCAGCGCCGCAGCCGCGCTTACGCCCGGGGCCAGGTCTCCGAGTTGCAGGGCTCTTTCAACCGCAAGAACTAGGCCGCGTGAGAACGCTGCCATGTTTCCCCGAGATATTTGAAAGTGATCTAGATCACAAAGTGTCTGCGACCCTTGCGCTATGCCGATGCAGTTCAATAAAGACTGCTTGAAATTACAAAGGCTACGCTGTATGAGAGGTCGTCCCGTTGTCATACAGCGCCGTCATCTGTGTCTGTGTGCATCGGTGTTCCCATTTATGACTGGATTGACTGCAATGAAATTCGACTTGTCAACTGCTGCTGGCCATGTCGAGCAACAAAGCCGATACAGGGCCAACGGCGGACTGTCAGAAGCAATACCGTATGACTGCAATTTCTGCTGATATCGCAGCTGCAGCATCACAGGCAGCAATCCGCATTGTCCAGCTCGAGCTTTGAGCTGCAACCATGCAGGCCGGCGGAGCTCGACAACAGCAGGAGATGCAGCAAACCCTGACCTTCGCATCATTGACAGCAGCCACCTGCAACCGGGCACTCTGCACGGTGGATGTGGCCTCCTTGCTGCCAGAACAAGCGCGGACCCACACGCCGTCGTGATCGGCAACGCAACGCCCGGGGATGATGGGCAGGGGCATGTGGCACGAGCGCCGCGCTGCCGCCGGGGCCCTACATGCCGTCTTGTGTGTGGGTGGCGCATGAACTGGGTGTGCAGGATGCGAGGGGATGGGGGCTGAAGCTCACCACCACGGCCCTGCTCTTGCGCCCTGACAAGGAAGTCTGCAGTCCACATCAACACAACGGGGACCATGCCTTTGCAAACAAGGACCTCAGCATTGAACATTGTGCGCAGCGCGAACCACCCACGCACAAGGAGCATTTGTGCACGCCTGCTTTGACGGCGTGGACATTAGCCGACGTGAGCCGCCTGAATCTGAGTCACACAATATGATGCTGCAAACTCCACTTCCCTGAGCCTGGATGGCTCCAGGAGCGTGCAATATTGGGAAAATGGTGCAGCCCAAGCCCTCTCCAATCCTGTGTCGGATGGATGCTGCCGTTGCGCATGCGCGCCAAGCATCTGGCCGTCGTCCGCCGTTGCTTGGTATCTTGATGCCCGGGGAACGCGCAAGGCTCCTCCATTGCTTGAGATATGATTGTCCTTGCTGTCACATCAACCAAAAATTAAACAACGGGGCGAATGTTCAAGCCAGCACTTACCGGTCTGGTGTCACCTCGGCACACCACCAATCGACCGCCGCGAAGCTTGCTAGGCCGGGGGCAGCGTGGAAGCTGTCCCGCACTGCCGCAGCTGCGCAGGTGCGGTGACATGCTGTCGGTTTGTTGTCTAATCAGGGTTACAATGCCTTTTCAGGCGTGCCACTCGCGATACCGTAGCTACTGGTTGATCGGCATTCGCACAACTTGCGCAACGAAATCAGACACGTCTGCACGTGTGCTCTGCTGTGGATCAAATCAACAAATTGACAAGCGCGCAGCACACAAAGCCGCACTTTGTGACCAAAGTGCCCCCTGAGAGCTGCGGGGCCCGTTGGGCACTGCACGGCCTGGCCGGAGTGCCGCCAGCCAGCGCCGCGGCCCGTCAGCTCGGTGCATGGCACCCTCGGCGCCGCGGCTGCGAGCTCTCGTCGTCAACGCTTTGCTGGTCGCGCTGCTGGCTGACTCCGGTGAGACTGTGGTGCATCAGTAATTGGCAGGATGGGTCAGCCAGATGTGACGCCAAGTACAGCAGGGTGCGAGAGAGGGCGCAACGCGTTACAGTATGCCGGCGGTTTCAAAAAAGTGTTCTTTCAAGCTCTGATGACACCCGCTTTCGTCTCCCGAACCACCACCGCACGTTGCGGGCATGCCGCCATGCCTGCAACAGTAGCCGCAGCGAGCAGCTCGGCGGCGCACGACTGCCGCCTGCAGGTTGACAGCGCAGGAAACGGCATCACCGACCGGCCCTGGCGCGTGGCGCTGGAATGTGCTGGCGGCAGCAAGCCCTCAGTGTCAGTGCATCCCAACGCGTCATTCGTGCTGAATGGGCGCGACCGTGCAGCCCCGACAGCGTGCCCCCGTGCGGCATGCGACAGCGACAGCAATGGTGGCCGCGGCGGCGATCTCGGCGAGTGCTGTGTCCTGACATTCTGCGGCGGCAGCGGATCGGTGCGGCTGTCACGTAGCCTCATCACGGGCGTCAACGCACCCCAGCTGGCCGGCGTGGTGTGCGCTGCGGGCGGGGTCGACCTGAGTTTCAGCGATGCTGACATCAGCAACAATACCGCCCGCAACGGAGCGTTGCGCGCGCTGGGGCTGGGCACGCGGGTTGCGTTGAGCAACAGCACGCTGCGCAGCAACGTTGCTGTAGCCACCAGTGATGACAAGGGAGGTGCGCATGTGCCTTGCGGGAAGAGGGCATTTTCCGCCGCTTGAAAGGCCCAACAAGGCACGACGGTGTGCTTGGGTGCCTTCTGTGTTACCTGCATGCGCAGTGTACTGCTGGGGACACACCCATGGGTGGCAGCCACCGGCCGGCGCCTTGCCCTGCCGGGTCCATGATTTGTTAGCCAGCTGATGCATGCAAGACAGTCGCCGCCTGCGTTCCCACGGGTGCTGCCCCTTACTAATTGTGTGCGTCACACCCAGGCTCTGGCGGCGCGCTGTACGTCGGCGGCGGCGCTAGTGCACTCCTGACCGGCAGCCGCGTGCTGGGCTGCAGCGCCTCGCGCGACGGCGGCGGCGCTTTTGTCAAGGGCAACGGCTCATGGCTCACTGTGACCGGCGGCGAGTTCTCCAAGAACAGCGCCACATTGGGGCACTCTGGCGGCGCGGTGATGGTCATCGACGGCGCGGCGCTTGAGGCAAACAGCGTGATCTTCACCGGGAACCAGGCGGACTTTGGCGGCGCGGTGGTTGCAAGCAACGCCACCGCTAAGCTGCGCGGCGGCAGCTTGATGGGCAACACCGCCATCGGTGGCGGTTGCGGGGGTGGCCTGTTTGCCACGGGCAAGCTGTCGTCGGCGCGGCTAGAGGGGGTGCAGGTCTATGGAAACCGTGGCAACGATGGGGCTGGGCTGTGCGCTCACAACGCATCGATTCTGAGCGTGAACGGCAGCGGCTCCATTATCGTCAACAACACGGCAGCGGTGGGTTGGGGTGCTATTCTTGGAGGGCCACTGCTGTGCTGTGGTGCGTTGGGGAGTGCTAGACAAGCCCATACCTTGCAAATGCCTGTTTGAGTAATCGGGGTTTGCTTTCATGCTGCCAACATGCAAGGAGAGCTTGTGTTGAATTGTGTGTGCTGCACTTGCCCAACAAGCTGCTGCCACTTTCTTGGTTCCAGGGCCTTGCCATCCATGCTCCCCCTCCCTCTCCCCCATCACCAACTCTCTCATAGTACAAGGGCGGCGGTGTGCACGCCATGGCGACGCGCCTTGTCATTGCCAGCGGCACGCTCATTGCCAACAACTCGGCCACCAACAGTCTGGGGGGCGGCGTCTACGTGTTTGCCTGCAGCAGGGGCGTCGAGATCACTAACGCCACCCTGGTGGGCAACAGCGCCAAGGACGGCGGCGCCGCAATATTCATAGACGCAGAGGGCTCGCGCGTGTCCATGAGTGGCTGCCATGTGGCCGACAACAGCGCTGCGACCCAGTGCGGCGGAATCTTTGTGGCGACAGACTCGGCCGTCGTAATCCGAGGCGGCGACGTCCGCGGCAACACGGCCCGCCGGGGGAGGGGCGGGGGCTTCTGCGCCGACAGGAACGTGACAGTGGACCTGATAGGCGTGACCTTTGCCAACAACACCGCCCTGGAGGGCGGGGCCGCCGCAGTGGACGGCGTGAACACCACCATTGTGCGGTTCACACGCTGCACCCTTAGCCACAACAGTGCCTGGACGTCAGGCGGGGCGGCGAGGATGAGTTTGGAGGGGTCTGTGGGGTTTGACGGCTGCACCTTGGAGCACAACAGGTGAGTGTTGGGGCAGCTGGGACGATGCTGAGGTCCGGGTATACTTCAACTGATGTGGTTGTGCTTCATCTGATCAGCTTTCAGCCAAACAGCGAGAGGGTTTGGTTTGGGAAGGTGCGCGCTGATGAGGCATCAAGATCTGTATATGTTTTGGCAGTTGCGGCCAAAGACCTGATAGTCTGATGACACATCGTCACGTGGGTGATAGGTGTGCGTGGACCTGGGCTGCCTTTTGAACCATATCCCACATCAAACTCCACAGTGCAACCCGCGGCGGAGCGATTGCTTTGGAGGTGGTCGGCAGCCCCGGCGCCCGCGTGGCGCTCAAACTGACACGCAGTGTTGTGCGCAACAACAACGCGTCTGTCTCTGGGGGCGGCCTCGACCTCAATTGCGGCGCAACAGCATTGGTCAATTCTACTTTGACCAGCAACCATGCGCAGCTTGGGGGCGCCGTCGCGTTTGAGTGTCCCGACGCGTGGCGCGGGGATCTGGATGTGTCGCGTGACTGCAACATATCCAACAACTCAGCGGTGAGCATTTGTGGTATTAGTGCTGCAACCATACTGCATGCATTTCATGTCTTGGCGATGGCTTACTGTGTTCCAGACTGTGTATGACACAGCATGTGCATTCCTTAAGGAATGCATATGCTGTATACTGCAAGCTTGCAGTATACAGCGAAATCAGGAACAGTTGACAAGCATACTACAAGCCTGGAGTGCAGTGCCTTCTTGCTTGTAACTGCCTGCTTGCCATGCCACATGTGACGATCCAGTAGAGACCACCTCATGAGGTGACCAATCAAAACCACCTGACCTTCTGCACCCGCCCCAACCCTGGTTGCCGCTGCTGCGAGTAGATCTACAGCGGGGGCGGCATCTGGGGTTGGCACCGGGTTGCTGGCTTTTGGGTCTCAGCCCGGAAATCAAAGACTGTGATACACGCAAAAATTTACCCGCATCTGGCATGCCGCTCCTGTCTGCAGAACGTTTAACCGCACGCCAATCGCCATGTAGTAATTGGACCCTGTTGGACCCTGCCTCACCGTGCTCTTGTTGTTGTCCACGCTCCCCTTCCTCATCGCAGCACCAAACTCAGCAAATCTCAGCTTTGCAGCCGCCATTCGGGCCACGGCTGGCGCCAACCAGGCCCAGACGGGACCACGCATCTCAATGCCGCCCTCGCAGCTGCTGCTCGTGCGGCCCGCTGCAAACTCGCGAGCTGCGGCCTTGGTGGGGCCCCTGACAACAGGCCTGCCAATCATCACGGGAGAGGTTGTCTCCTCGTACGAACCAGCCAGACCAGGCAGCCTCGCGCCCTCCTTCCAGGCACTCGCCCTGACCGCTGACGGCGAGCGCATGCCGGGTGTCCGTGTGGCGGCGCGCTTGTTGAGCGCAGCGCCGGGCGTGACCCTGACCAGCAACATCAACGTGACCGGGGACGACGGGCTTGCGACATTCTCCGGGATCAAGCTGCGCGGCAGCCCCGCCGACTACCTGATCGCCGTGAAGGCCGAGGATTTTGACGTGGAGTCCGAGGCAAGGGTGGCCATCCGTGTCCGAGACTGCGTCCCGGGGGAGGTTAAGCCAATGGACGCGCCAGACACCTGCATGCTCTGGTGAGGTCGCGCATGCTGGCGGGTACATGCCGGGAGTTGAGGGGGCTTGGGCAGCGCTGGGCACGGCGCTGCAACAATGCAAGAGGGCGGTTGTTTGCCGTGGATAGCACAAAGCGTTGTCCCCAGCAGCCCAACGCTTCATGCGTCCACCCTCTCCTCACCAGCGCTTGTACCCGCCTTGTCAGACGCCGCGCATGCCTCATTTGACTATATGCTCATCACCCTTCTCACCTGATTCAGAGTGGCTGCTGGCGCAAACATCGCATTTTGAGTCTCTGACCAGCTGAAATGCGCTCCTGCGCATGCCCCTCCTCCCATCACCACGCAGCCCAGTTGGCGTCTACTCTCTGGTTGATGCAAGCCAGATGACCGTCGGCACCCCTTGCAAGCCCTGCCTTCAGGGGGCACTGTGCTACAACGGCTCCCAATTGGTGGCGCGCAACGGGTACTACCGGTCAGCAAACTACTCTGAGCAGGTGACTGACTTGGCCTTAAATTGGGCACGCAAGTAATCAGTGCCGAAGTACGTGCGATTATTGCACCCAATGCTGCGCTTGGAAGCGAGACTGCGTACTGCTCACGTGCCCAACTTGTACCCGCACAGCCGCAACCACTGTCCTTGCACGAGATTGCCGTCCGTGCCTCGGACTTTGTGCCCGCCGCGCCCCTGCAGGTGCACCCTTGCCCTAACCGAGCGGCCTGCACGGCGCCAGAGCTCGCAAACGCGACCTCACGGCCTTTCCTCACGCCCGCTGAGGCAGAGGCGGCCGCCAAGCCCGAGCAGCTGTGCGCCAAGGTGCGCATACTTTTGTGAGGGGCGATGCGCAGGGGGTGCGTTCAAGCTGGCTCCCTGAACGGCAAGTTGATTGTTGCTGCATCTGCACGTGTGCTTTAATCCCGAATGTGTCGTGCACCAAAGGGGGGGCTGTTATTGGCAGGGTGCCCGACTCACCCCTTTTCATTGCACTCCATTCTGTTTTCATCACTTGTACGTACCAACTTGTACATGCCAACAAACCCGCAGGGCTACACGGGCCCCCTGTGCCTGACCTGCCAGCCAGGCTTCGGCAAAGCCGCCGCCCTGACGTGCCGCGCCTGCCGCAGCCCAGGCAAGACCATCCTCTTCTTTGCCATTGGGATGCTCGTGCTGCTCGCCTTCATGCACATCTCTGTGCGGCTCGCCCTCCGCGAGAACCAGGCCGCATCCACAGGCGCCGATGTGTTGCACGGCGGCGGCAGGCACGGCAGCAGCCGCAGCCGCGGCCGGCCCGTTGGCGCTGCTGACGTCATCAAGGTGATGGTCCGTCATCTGCAGCAGCTGCAGCTGATCTCCGAGGTTCAGCTGGACTGGCCGCGCCAGCTGGCAGAGTCCACCAGATGGATCTCGTGGCTCATCCAGCCAGGCGCAGCCACCTCGGCGCTCGAGTGCGTGGCGCCGCAGCTGCGGGGCGCGCCCCTCGCGGGCGCTCGCCTGGCGTTCTGGCTGCTCCTCCCGTTTGTGGTGTTTGCTGTGCTCCTTGGCACGCAGATGCTGCACCAAGCAGTGGCCCATGGGGTGCGTCACCGGCGCCCCATGAGTGCCCCGGCGGCCTGGCTCTTCCTGCGGAGCGTGTGGATAGTCTGCGGGATGACCTGTCTGTTCTTCTTCTTCCCAGTGAGTGTGGGACAGGGGGGAGTCATTGTTGATGCCGCGTTGCCGCGCGAGGGTGCTAGCGCCATAGCCTACCGCCTGGATGGTTCAGCGGCGATCTTGCGCCAGCAACGCATGATCATGAGTGCCCCCACCTATAGCAGGCGTGCTCGCACGCTCTTTGTTTCCATGCCTAGCACCTGCCACGACAGTGCCCGAACCTCCACCGGCTGTCCACACCACCTCATGCAGTATATGGTGGGGGCCGTGTTCAGCACGTTTGCCTGCATCAGGGTCGACAGGGCCGCCAGCGACGGGGCCCAGGGCCTGCAGCCCGGGCGGTTTGTCGGGAGGTTCTGGCTGGCGGACATGTCCCAGCAGTGCTGGGCGACCGGCGGGAACCAGACGGTGCTGGCGCTGACCGTCGGGGTCCTGGGAACCGCAGTGCTGTGCGTCGGTCTCCCCGCCGCGATCGTCATGGTGGTGCGCCGCCGCCGCGATTCGCTGGACGATCCGCGGTTCTTGCGGCACTTTGCGTCACTCATCAGCGACTACAAGCCCAATTACGCCTGGTGGGAGGCGGTCAACCTGGTGCTGATGGCGATGCTGGTGGCGGTTGGCACTTTTGGGAAGATCATGGGGGGTTACCTCAACCTCCTATCGCTGGCTGCCGCTCAGCTGCTGAGCGTGACGGTGCAGGCGCTGTGGCGGCCGCAGCGGGTGAGGCAGCTGCACTGGGTCCAGACGACGGCGTACTGCGGCGTACTGCTGGTGGGTGGTGTGCGCGGAATCGCCAGGCGGAATCACCAGGCTGAACGTTGTGTTTTCAGTTGACCCCTTGTGCAGGCTGTCAGCGCACTGTGCACAGGGGCCTGCGAACCACCACGCATGGGCTAATAATGGTTGCAATTGCTGTGTGTGTGCGTGCGTGCGTGCGTGTGTGCGTGCTTGCGTGCGTGCGCGCGCGCACGTGTGTGTGTGTGTGTGTGTGTGTGTGTGTGTGTGAGAGAGAGAGAGTTACAGCTCTTTTCCAGGGCCAAGGAGTGCCGCTCAAACGTCTTGTGGACAACCTTGCTGGCCTGGCAGGGGACCATTGGCAGAGTCGCATGCGCTCTCTGGCTGGGCGCTGCGACGTGCTGACCAGCACTCCAAACGACGAGCGCTGGCCGGTTGCTATGGTGTGTGCCCCTCAAGGCACATCAGCGCAAAGTCTGTCAGCCAATCACTCCTCCAACCACTCTATGTCGTTCGCCGGTCTGCAATCCCCTGCAGCTGGCCTATGCTGGTCTGACGTACTTTGATGTCTCAGGGTCAACCCCCGTCAACGACATCTGGCGGGCGTTTTCGGCCTTCTTTGTGGTGAGTTTTGAAGCGCGTTGCAATTTGACCATGCACGTTTGGTGCTGAAGCAATTGCCTGTCCCCGCAACCTAGAGGTGCTTGACCCACTGATGCTGCAACCCCGACCACCCGCCGCCTCGAACGACTGAAGGCACACACATGCGCACATGTGCGTGCCACACCCATGCACTGCACGTGCACCGGCACATGCACGCGCACGCGCACGCGTGCACACACA